AAATCAGCCAAGGTCTAGTTGATTCTTTGACATTATTGGGAAAGGGACCATGGTTCAGTTTCTTTTCTATCCATGTTGACCTGAGCTGACACATTAAATACTGTAAGGTATAGAAATATTTTAAAAACGTAATCATCCTGTTAGCTGTGTCTATGTTTGTCTTATGGGCATGGATTCAGATTAATGTTAAAAATCGTTTATTTTTTGTGTGTGTCAATCACCTTTTTATCATGTCGGTAACTTTAGTAAAACACTTATGACCAAAGTTGTTTTTCATAGTATTTTTGAGAGTTCTGAATTTAAATAAATACTTCAGTGGTTGAGTTTCTGCAAATTTAAAAGTCTAAGAAAAAAAGCTACCTGTTGCTTTAACATCTGAGTAGAAATGTGATACAGAGGAACTTCAAATTAGTATCATAATCAGGATGCTTACTCAAGTTCATAACTCTGTAATGGTTTCAGAATAATATACATGTACTTGTCTATTGATGTTTATGTATTATTGTATATAAATGCATATAGGTTGCCTTCTGACATTCATATACTGTTTAATCTTTTCCTGATTTGATAAGTCATAATGTGACATCACAAATAAAATAGGACCTTTGGCTGATGGAAGCTTTCTATTTATCCAGATGGTTTGAGGTTACTTTGGTCTCGAGTCTTCTAACAAAATACATTGAAAGTATTATTATCATTATTATTACTATTACTATTAGCAGTAGTATTATGCAACATGAGCCCAGCAATGTGGAGGTGTGAGAAGTTGAAAACAGGAAGACAAATGTTCACGCTGAGGAACTCGTAGAGATATTTTACAAGAAAGTGTCCTGTTTTTATTAGAAAACCTACACATTTCTTTTTTTTTTTTTTTTTTTTTTGTTGGTCGTGGGCTTGAACTCTGGGCCTGGGCGCTGTCCTTCAGCTCTTCAGCTCAAGGCGAGCGCTCTACCACTTGAGCTACAGCGCCACTTCCGGTTTTCTGGTGGTTTATTGGAGATAGGAGTCTCTAGGTCTCTCCTGCCCGGGCTGGCTTTGAACCGCGATCCTCAGATCTCAGCCTCCTGAGTAGCTAGGATTACAGGCGTGAGCCACCAGCGCCCGGCTTCATTTCTTACATTGTAAAAGCAAAACATTTCTTTTAAGCTATCCAGTGTCAACAGTAAGTAGTTGACATGAAAATGGATTGACCTCTGGTTCTAGTGCTTATATATATAGTGCTGGTAGATGACTCTCATCCAAAGTAATATTTCCTTTGTGCACTCCAGCCAAGGACTAAGACTTAACAATTATATGTGGTGTCATTGTGACACTTACCTTATTGTTTGCATATACTGTTTCTTGGACTTTTGCATGAAATTGATTAGTCTTACCTATAGCATTGTTATTTGAGTTAGGGCATTGTCAGGGTATTCTGGGCCATTGTGTTGTTGTAGATGTGTTGTTTTTGCTTTAGAAGTTGAATTTACTCTAGGAAGAAAGAAACATAGTAATAGTATACTAGTCATCTCTGCACAACTAACTGCCAGTGTTTCTTAAACCAACAGCTTTATGTTTTTATGGATATTTTGGTCACAGTGATGAATCTGGAAAGAAAAGAGTAGGAAATGAAGCTATGGGAAGGGGAATCTGAAGGATAAGAGAAAGATCTGGGAAGGGCAACAGGAGGAAGTAAACCAAGTAGAAATCTAAGAGATGAAGACTAGGGAACACGAGTTGGGCGAAACCAAGAGAGAAAAAGAGAGAACCCTGAAGAATGGAGATATAAGGTTTCTTCAGCAGCACAGAAAGCAACAATAAATTAACACTGACATTTATTATGTGTCAAGAACTGCGGTGGGTGCTTTCATTTGGTTTTCTTGCCTGCTTCCCACCCCAGCTAATGAACTGCTGCCATTCTTCTCATCTTAAGAAGGAGTCAGTCCCATTGCTGAGGACACTTAGAAAGGAAGTAGCTGAACTGCATGAAAACCAATGTGCCTGTTTTACTCTGTAAGCTGGTCAAGTCTGGTGACCATATCTGGCACTGTCTTGTCAGCTGACATTCATTCACCCCAGCAGCCTATAAGAGCATTTTCCCCTGTCCTACATTGCTCTGCCTCAAACACATGGTGGATGGGGGGGGGTAATAGTCCTATGTATATATAACATATATATATATATATATACATATATAAAACATATATAACACCATGCTTTCTATTTTCTCTCTACATTTGAATTTGTTCTGATGTCTTAAATCAAAGCTGAGTTCATATTTTATTATTTATTATTCCTGAAGAGTTTAGGCACAGATCCTAAACGTTTATTAGTGTTATTCCCATTATATATACATATGTATGTATACATATGTATATGCACATATATCTATGCACATATATCTATATGGTCCTTAAGTTTCTGCTGCAAACAATAGAAGGCAAGTTACTTTATTCCATAGTATAGTGAAAAAAGGGTTAATTAGACAAAGAAAATAAATACCAGGCCTTTTGAGCTTTAAAACAAATTTACATTAAATTATATCACTGAAACCTGAAGAAGAGGCTTCAAAGTTTAGGTTGAAAGAAGAAAAAATAGATATCTGCAGATTCACTATTCAGTGTTGCTGGAAGTTATGTTTAAAGTTGATAATTGTTTTTGAGGTATGATTCAGGTTTTATTCCTGTGCAAATGAGACAGAAATAAACAATATAGATATTTTAAATCACTTTTGGTAGAGAAAGGAGATGGATGTTTCTTCATGTTTATTATCATAACCATGTGAACAGAGATAAGATGGATCATTCCAAAGCCCAGCAATTCAACATTTGAACTTTTTTCTTTTCTTTTTCCCTCTTTTCCCAAGTCAGAGCAGCTAGCTTCTTTGATAATTTCTCTTCTTGCTCCTGCTTGCCCTCTGGTGTACATGTCTTAGAATAGCAAGCAGTCAACTTTTAGTTAAGTTTTCAAACCAAAACGACCAAACCAAAAAAAAAAGAAAGAAAATAATGAAAGGATAGATCATTAGTATATTCTCCAATATAAAATAATCATATCAGTTTTCAACGACTTTTAGAGAAATATCCATATATGTATATACTCATTTATTTATGTATTATCCTTCACAGATCATTCCTTGTATATTCTAATGTGTCTGTTGTTCTAATATTCTCACTGTCTATAACATATAAAACAGCCTTTTACATCACAAATTTAAGGTATTTTGTTTATGTTATTTTTTTTAAAGTGATAGCCTGTTACTGAGAAAAAGACAGAGATGGTGAAAAAATATTATAGGATATGATGGCTGAATATTGGAGACAGAATTTAGTTGTTATAAAGTTATAAAGTTTAGGGGATTTCTTAGTTAGAATGCATTGTAATCTTCCCTTTCACCATTTTATTGTATTATTCCTGTCAAGAAATGTGCTTTCATACTAACATTTTAATGACTACTCAGGAATCTCATTTTAAAGATATTACTAATCTCCTATTATGATAAATGTGCACTGTTATAAACAATATCGCAAAGAACTTTATAGCTAAACTTTATATATCACTCTTAAGAATTACACTATAAGAAAATGATGAATCTTTTAAAGTAGTTTCTCCTAGAGCAGCATATTATTTCTTATATGAAGATGTTTCTTTTTCTATTTTATTCATTGCAAAGATTTCATTTGACAACTTTTCTAAGCAAAGAGTAAATTCTATGCCTCTTTCATTCATCTCTTACCAACTGTGTATTGGTTCTGACCCAGGCTATGTCTGAAACATGGTAAACCCCAGTATGTAAGTGAACATCTCCATAAAAAATGAATGTTTCTTTTTCTTTTTCTTTTTTTTTTTTTTAGCAGTCCTGGACTTAACCTCAGGCCCTGGGCACTGTTCCTGAGCTTCTTTGGCTCAAGGCTAGCACTCTACCACTTAAGCCACAGAGCCATTGTGGCTTTTTCTGTGTATGTGGTACTGAGGAAGCCCCTGGTTTATTTTTTAAACTTGAAAAAGAAAGGTTCTGATGTGGATGGGCGCAGGGTGTAATACGTTTTCCATACATCCCTTCTCATCACTTGGCCCCTTGAGGTAGCCCAGGCTGTCAAGTGAGAAGATTGAGGACCAGGTTTACAAAGAAAGAATCCTCCGTAACAAGGTGACAGATGGACAGACCTAAGCACACTGCACCTGGATAGCATGTGGGGCTCACGGCTCTTCCCTGAACAGACTTGTAACAGATGAATGGCTTGCCAGACAAGCTACTACAGGAACTGTGTTTAGCATCACTGTATTTACGAATTTACAAAACTAGGGATGAGCATCCTATTGTTTTAAAATAATATAGTCCTATTGAGGTTTATTATGTGATTGGATGAAATATTATTTACTTAAAAGAAGCCAGGATTTCTCTAAGGAGCCAGCTGTACGTCATATGTCTCAAACCAGATGTGGAGCATGTCCTTTGCTTGCTCCCCTGAAGCCTACAGTAAAAGCTTTCTAGTGGTGTTCCCTTGAATTGTATATACTCAATTAAATATATGGTTTGTTTTGTGGTTGGGTGGGGGAGAGGCTTGAACTCAGGGCCTGGGTGTTGTACCTGAGCTTTTTTTGCTCAAGGTTAGCATTCTACCATTTTAAACCATGGTGCTGCTTCTAGTTTCCTGGCAGTTAATTGGAAATGAGAGTCTCATGGGCTTTCCTGCCTGGGTTGGCATTGAACCTTGATCTTCAGATCTCAGGTTCCTGAGTAGCTAGGAGTACAGGCGTGAGCCACCAGTACCTAGCCTAAATATAGTTACATTTAATGTCCAAAATACTACCTGAAAAGTATTATGGGTGTTTCTTTGATATGAGACATGCACTAGAGAGAAGGTTTAATATTTAACAGCGATAGCAAAATAGTTGTCTTTCTGTTTCCATCTTTCAGTGAGGTGAATACTTCATTTTCCATGGGATCTCATCCTTTTGGCAGAATATGGTAGTAGACTCTTCTACAACGCTTAGCTCTCGCTTTTTCTTCTTTTCAGTGAAGTTCCTTGATAACATGCTTTTGCGAAGCTCAGGAAAATTAAGCGTGGGCACCAAGAAGGAGGCTGGCGAGAGCCCCGCCCCCACCCCTCGTCCCAAGGTCTTGCGATGTAAATGCCACCACCATTGTCCTGAAGACTCCATCAACAATATTTGCAGGTTGGTGACACACAGGATTTAAACCTTTGCTTGCATGAAAGCGCACACAGTTTTGATCATAAGCTAGCTAGCATGTCAAAGAAAGTACACTCTGCAGAACAGTGCCTAACTGCATTCATTGTTAGAGCGGGATTGCACCGAGAAAGCTAGAGAATCGTGTTCTGAGACTGCTCCCTTCCTGCAGGCAGCAGACATGCTCAAAATCATCCAGCACGGATCACGAGCAAAGCCAGTCATTTCTTTAAAAAGACCTGTTCCTCATAATCAGTCCAGCTACAGCGGATGGTACCTGTGTGTGATGCTTTACGTTTTAATCATTCATCATGCTGATGTATTTGGGAAAGAACACCTAAGCCGCCGGGAATATTAATACACCGGCCCTGGGAGGCAGCACGATAATGAAGCTTATATGAATTCACCAGAAAGACATTGTCAAAGTCCAAGTTGGGAATCATGTTTTTATAGATAGTTTAGAACATTTTTGAAAATGAACTCTCTCTCCCTCCCTCTTTCCCTCCCTCCTCCATCTCTGCCCCCCTCCCTCTTGCTCATTGCTGATGGTATACCACTGGAACCAGCATTTTGCTGGTTAATTAGAGATGGAATCTCACTGACTTTTAGTTTTTGCCTGGGTTGGCTTTGAATCAAGATCCTCCATGTCTCAGCTTCCTAAGTAGCTAGGATAACAGGTGTGATCCACTGGTGCCCGGCTTGCGCTTTCTTTTTTTATATATCTTTATACAGCCACACCCCCTTTGCTGATCAGGGTAGATTCAGTCACCCCAGAATGGGAAGGGGTGGGGATGATTGTGAGTAGAGAGCCACAGGCTTAAGAGGTAGAGAGGTGGATAGGTTACTCAGGCAAGTGGGCCTGCTGGGACATAAAATGATTCAGAAACAATAAGTGCTTCCAGAGAGGTCACAGACTCATAATAAAGCAATGGGTGAGCAGCTACATTTTCAGTCCAAACAGAATATCTGGGCCATCATTTGGGACTTTGGTCCCAAATGGAGTGGTGTTTTGCTTTTGTTTTTGGAGTGCTTTTATAAGGTGTTCTACAATGTAGACTCTAATGGAAAAATTCAAAATATGAAACACTCCACAAATCTAAAACTTTGAACACAGACAAAGGTGATATCACCAGTAGGATGTTTTACACCTTCCTCATATGGTAGGTTACAGCCCAAATGCAGGCACAGTGAAAATATTGGATGAAATTATGTTTTTTTGGTGTGCAAAAGGTGTATGTAAAATATAGGTGAATTTTATGTTTATATTTGGGGTTTCTCCCTCAGATAAATATCTTAAAATAGAATAGAATAGAAGAACTCTAGATTAGGTCATATTCTAGACTCTGAGAAATTCTGAAATACTTTGTTCGTAAGCATTTTGGATGCGGGATGCTTGGCCTGGAAAAGTTTCCCAGTGTATTTTAAAAACGTAGTGTCTTTAGAATAAAATTACAAATTAACTAACTCAGAGAGAAAAGTTTGGTGTAGTTAAAAACACATACCTTACTGAGTCATCAGAACAACAGTGTTACAGGGCATGCTTATGGTCCACTTTAGACAAAAGGAATTTGGGTACAGAGGTCTTGCAATGCTCTCTTTAATACTGAATAATGCTGAGATTGCTGAGTTTTAACATACAATGATTTCAAGCCCAGACAATTTTATTTTTGCATAGGAAATACTATTTACAATAAGCACACAGTGTCAGACAAATGAGTTCCAGTGGCATCAGTTAGAAAAGTTAAGAGTTATTTTATGAGACCAGATTGAGATGGCCTGACATTTATATTGGGTCACCTCTGATTCAGGATATCATTGGAAACCCAAATCTATAAGACTAATAATGGAATCACTGAAAAGAAGATTGGTACATTATTACCTGAATGAGTTTACTCACGGATGTCAACAGAAATTATTTGCTTTTAAAAATATGATCATGTTTACATTCAACCATATTTAATCATCTCAGTATTCCTGTGAAGTAGTGTTATCTTTTTTTTTAAATTTCTTTACAGGTAAGAAATTTGAGGTGTGAAAGGTTAAATAATTCTCAGAAGATAGGATGGTAAACAAAATGTGTGACCAAGCTTCCTGAATTATGAATTCTTGGCCAGCAGCCAGCCTCAACTCTGCTTTTCAGGGGAGACTACATTCACTGTTGAGGAAAATGTGCATGGACTTTGCTAATTAATTATTCCAGTAGGGTCTTCTCATGTGTGAATCATAGGAACTACATTTTTCATTTTGTCCTAAGACCTGGAAAAAAAAAACCCCAGAAACATTGTTTCTGTAAGCCTGTGCACTATTAATTTTCCTTTAAAAGAAATGTTTCTCAAGCTCTCTCTAGTGAATAAAAAGCTAGCCACCTAGAAGTGTACATGAATACTTCCCTAAAATATGCCAAAAATGAATTATTACAAAAATTAATAGCTGTACATTGCATGTTCTTTCTACTTTTCTATTGAGTTCAATAGACATGACATTGTCCCCTCAAACTGCTGTGTTAGGTTTCTGTATTGACATCTTCACACCAGTAAAAAATGAATTTCTGTCCTTCAGGGCACCAGTCTTGCATTTCTAGATAAAATAGGTTTATGAACAAAAGTTTGCTTTCTTATGCCTTAGTTATTTAAGCTCTTATGGGCTGGTCTACGTTGTCTGACCTGAAACTTTGAACTCTGCAGATCTTAGTCAGTGTCCCAAGTAAGGTTTCATGCTCATCAATTACTACATTTAGCTCCCTGGAAAGAATAATCCAAAAATGAGCCAACAGTCAGAAGTGTGCACATCCTTTGAACCAACTGTGAAATCCCACACATCAATTCAAAGAACAGAAGTGCATTTTAGAGGTTAGGAAGTTCTTCACTAGTACATCCTTGCTTGAATAGCTAACATTAAGGCTCAAGTCATTGTTGGTTTGGTCTCTGATGGATGCAGAAATCCACACTACTCGAACCAATGGCATTTCCATTGTTGTAGAATGTAGTGTAAATGTATCATAATTGAGTACAGTGTCAGGGCCCTTTACAAATCTGAATCTTCAAGTCTAGGGTAAAGCCATTTGTACTTTCTCCATCAAGTGTAATATCTATTTTCTAAATGCTTCTAGTTGCCATGTTATATTATGATCCTTCCTATTCCTTAGTTCTGCTACTACAACTACAAACTATGACTATGAACCTCAAATGCTGCAAATGATTAAATCATCAATTAGTTCTCAAGTAATTATTAAAATATGAAATATTAAAATCTAATATGAAAATATTAAAACTCTTAAAACAATCCTTAAGTAATTCTTTCATGGTACCCACTACACACATGTTCTGTGTGGCTTTGCTTGCTCTCAGATGCAGTGAGTCTCAGCCTTGAGTGTTTGTGTTTTCTCTGTACAATTCAGTCTGACCATGGATCATGGTCCCACTATGGCATGTGACAGCCATTGTTGTCTTCATTTTACTGCATCTTCTCCCTTATACATCTGTATCCATTTGTCAGTATTACTTTTCCATTATTTTTATTAAAAGATCATTTTAACACTCACTTTTATCACTGATTTCTGATGAAAACATTTAGCATTTAAACGTATAATAATGTAGAACGATAAGGTTTGCATACTGGATATATTAAGTAAGATTGCTTCCATGAGGAATTAGATAAGTCAGTGAGAGAGGAGAGAGTCCCAGGAGCAAAAGGAAAAGGTTTTGTGTTGTGATGTGAACCTTTTTTTTACCCAGTATACACTAGCCCAGGCCTTTTAAGCCTCTTGCTGAGTAGAGTGGTGTGAGTTTTCAGGCAGGTAATTGTGACCTCAGAGGATTTAAAGTGTGCACATTTTGCTTTGTTTTTATGCCAACCTTTGCATAGTACCTGTCACTCTAAACCACTATTGCCCATGTTATGGATGCATTGAGCTTTATGACTCTTTTCTTCCTCACACATGTGATTTCAACTCATTGTCCTGGAGAGGATTGTGGTACATGCTTGAGGGCTTGTTTCAGTTGTAAGAGTCTATGATTACAGAGTCACTCATGGCGGCTTGTAGAATCACTCTCCATTTGTGCTTCTCATTCAAAACCGCAGGAGTTTTGAAACGCCACACCATCCCCTACCCCACCTCACTCATAATTGTTACTCCAGTACACCTCACTATTTTCAGTTTTGCTTAAAATGATTTCTGCTTTGACTTCCTTCATGATTCTTTATCTTTTCTGTTTACCATTTTCTATGTGGTAAAAAGAGGAGAGATAGAGCAAAAATCTGCATAGAAAGCGTGAAGCAGATTTATGTTTCCAGGCAGCAGAATTTTTCAACAAGCCCATGGCAGGAGCCGTCTCTGTGGCAGGCAAGAGTTGATCAGCTTTGACTTTGGAGCACAGCTTTGCTGTTTGCATTTGTGCTTGCTTGACAGTTGACAGCTCCCAAGTCATTCTTAGGTTTCTGCATTTGTCCTGCTCGTTTCCAGTTAATGTGTGTTGCAAGGTGGAAGTTTCCATGAGAAAGCTTGTAAATCACATTTGTTTTGTTGTTGATAAGGTTGCCTGAAGTGGCTTCTCACTTCCTTTCTTCTCCTTGCAATATCTGATTCTTTTCTAACTTTATGGCTAATGAGTTACTATTTTCTCCAGAGATTCCTTTGTTCTTTCCTTTTATATTCAGTTCCTTCTTCTTTGCAAACCATTTTTTTTGTATGTGTGATGGTCCAGGAACTTGAACTCAGGGCCTGGGGTGCTATCCCTGAGCTTTTGTGCTCGAGATTAGCACTCTACCATTTGAGCATCAGCTCTAGTTCAGGCTTTTTGGGGTGGGGAATTGTGGTGGTAAATTGGAGATAAAAGTCTTATGGACTTTCCTGACTGGTTTGGCTTTGAGCCTCCAGAGAAGCTAGGATTATAGTTATGAGTCACTGGCATTCAGCCACTAGGGTTATTTTTTAAAGCATGAGTTTTATTCTTTTTGTTGTTTGCATTTTCTAGAACAACAGCTCCACTTCTTAATATCTATTCCCTTTTAAAATTTTTGTGTATTTCCTAGAAATCCATCTAGGAAATATAGTCAGATTTCAATTAAGAGGAGCCCATGATTGAGGAGAAATTAGAGTTAGATTTGATACTAACTACTCCAGCCTCTGAATTCCCAGGGTCAGAAAATTAGAACAGCTGTTATTTCTGAAATTTTCTGCTTCTTGCATTTGTCATGTATCATCTAATTATGTAGAGAAAGAATTTATAAATCACATGAGTATTGTTTGTTCATGTTGTCTAAATCCCCAAAGAACAGTCTATTTATGGCTTTAAAATATTAGGCAATTTCAATAAATTGACTAAAAAGCCTTAGACTGTGAGTTGTTCAGGGCAAGCCCTCCCTGTATAATATTCATGCATTTGACCTTGGTCTACCAGAGATTTATCATGGGCCCTTCCTAGCTCTTCATTAGAATGTTTGAACTTTGCTCCACTAGTTCTTATAAACGAAGGCCTGTTGGATCACTTGAGCCTAACAAACCAAATAAACAATTCTAAGGATATTGATATTAACTGGATGGCTAATGCATAGCAGAACGCTGAGAGCACTGAGAGCACTAATGCAAATAGACACACCACAAATCACGGCCAATGCCATTCTCACGGCTCTCTTCCCATGACCTTTGAGGACTGCATTGTCCCATTTCAGGCCCGGCACATGCATATGGATGAGGAAGTGTGCTTGTGACTTCTGCTGGGTGTCTGCCCACATTCATCACCCAAACATGAGAAGCTGTGATCTCTGTTTACACGTAGTTCCATATATACTAGCTCAAGCTTTTCAATTTAGGCCTACGATGGCAGAAAGCCATCCTAGAAAGAAAGTAAGATGATGTATAGTATGATGCCGATAACCACTGATTTTCAGCCTCAGTTAGACAATCACTCTGCCCTAATCTTAATTTCCTCACCTTCTCACGATTGTTCAAAGGATTACAAAACTCAGAAACAGTGAACTTTTTTGTTGCAATACTGGAGTACATTAAACAGGTACTGTGGTAGGTGTGCCAAATCCTTTTGGCTATAGATATTTCTTTTAGGAAGGGGCTCTAGTTTTTGCCCAGGCCAGCTTGGACTATGATCCTGCTACTTGCATATGCCACATAGCTGAGGTAAGCGGCATCTGCCACCATGCCTGGCTTGTTAGTTGAGCTAGGGTCTTGCTAGATTTTTGCTCAGGCTGGCATTGAACCATGCTCCTCCTGATATCCACATCCCCAGTAGCTGGGATTACAAGGATGAGCCACTGCATCTAGCTCATGAGAGTTATTTGTAATCTAGAAAAAGCTACAGCATGAAAAAAATTTTGCATTGTCTTGTCACAACCCTTCCTTACGTTTAGTTCTATCTCTATCCCAGACTGCTTACAACAAATATTAATTTCTTCTGTGGCAGTCCAGCCCAGAAGAAGGGGCACTAAGTGACAGAACCTTCACTGCCTCAGTTTACCTTGCTGATCCAGCTTCTGCCTGTGTTTAGTTGTTATGATCTAGTCAGAGAGGAGTATGTTTCCCACCTCAGAATCCAGGAGAGCAGGCTTACCTTCACCTGTGTGTGCTTCTGTGTGCTTTCCCTCCCGCCCTCCTTTTGTCCTTCCTTCATCTTCTCTTTCTGCCTCCTTCCCTCTCCCTCTCCCTCCTCTCTCTCCCTCTTCTTCTTCCCCCTCTTTCTTTGCCTTTTCCCTTGCCCTCGCCTTTACCCTTTCTTTTCCTTCAGCCTCCACCTTCTTCTCTGCACAACTCTTAAGAAATTCCTCAAAAGCTCTGAGCCTTATGGTAGTGCTATTTTTCTCAGAGCTGTTTGCGTCTTTCTGGAAAAATCGTTATCTGTGAAGGGTCCTCGTAAGTTCCATAAATGGTGCATGTGGTTTAGTAATAGTAATTAATGATAAATGGAAATTTTGGATCCTTCTTTCTAGGTAAGGAAGGTTTCTAGGTAAAGAAGGTATTACCAAGTATTTTTATAGAAATTAAATCCATGAAAGGAGATGTTGAGATTGTCTTCCTGCTTTGTGACCTGCATTGATCATTGCCATTTTGCCTTGTTTGCAAGGACACAGTGATCCGCACCTCTCACTTTACATTTCCCAGACATGAATCCTCTTCCCCCTCCCCGTACACCCTTCCTCCTCCCTCACATACTCTGCCTGTTTGGTCTTCAGCACAGATGGGTATTGCTTCACCATGATCGAGGAGGATGATTCTGGAATGCCTGTGGTCACTTCTGGATGTCTAGGACTGGAAGGGTCAGATTTTCAGTGTCGGGTAAGAAAAATTACTTGGCTGTATTTTGTAACCCTACATTGGCTGGTAAAAAATGTGCCCAAGATTAAGAAATAGTATAGCATAGCTAACCTATTTTCAAGAACCTGGAAAATAATTGAAATATCTCCTTGGGTAAATTGTCCCTTCATTCTGAAGCCAAATACTCTTTTGACATTTGCCGATAACTTCTTGCTTAGTGTTCCATTTGATCAGTTTCAAAGTCAAGTTGAGTTAAACTTGGCTAAACAACATTAGCTCATTTTAGGATTAGCTAGTTAGCTAAACTTCATTTTAACTCATCCTGGCTTCGCTGTATTAAGACAAGATTCCTTATGCAGCTTATTGCTTGCATCCTGATTATCATAAGCCTAGTAGTAGTTTGGTTGAAACACAAACATTGCACCAGGATCATACAAGATTATTTAAATTCAGTCCCCTGATAGCAAACAACATTTTCAAGATGTTAGGGTAAAATCAGTAAAGCTTTGAATCCATTCTCGATTGATAATTTCTTATGTTTTTTTTTTTAATGATAAGACATTGAAATTCAAAGGAAACCCAGGATTAACCTGTTTGGGTTCAATTTTAGGACACACCAATTCCTCATCAAAGAAGGTCAATTGAGTGCTGCACAGAGAGGAATGAATGTAACAAAGACCTTCACCCCACACTGCCTCCACTGAAAACCAGAGGTAAGGCCAGAGACAAGCTTGGACTTGGTGAAATCAGTGCTTCCTTCTTCTCTCCTTTCGAATCGAATCTCCCTGTACTGTTTAACCTGCGGCCTCAGAGACAGGTGATACGTAAAAATACTTCTTAGGGCTTCACTTCTGTAATACTTGCTACTTAAACATCCCCCTTTCCCTCCCCAAACCGCAATTCCTGCAGGAAGATAGGGAAACAAGACAGCAAGCACTTTATATTCACCCTTAAAAGTTATTCACCGTGTGTGTGTGTGTGTGTGTGTGTGTGTGTGTGCGCCACTTTTATTTTCATGCATTGTGGGGCACCAGGGCTGTGTCTATGATTTGACTATTGTGAATTGTGCTACAATGAACATTGCTGTGAGGTGCCTTTGCCTTTGTTGTATCCTGAGTAATTCTGATAAATGCACAATAATGGTTTTGTAGATCTGAGAGTAGCTTTATGTTTAGGATATATTGTTGTTATTGTTGTTGTTGTGTCAGTCCTAGGACTTTAACTCAGGGTCTGGGCACTATTTTTGAGCTTTCTTTGCTCAAGGCTAACTCTCTACCACTGGGTCACAGCTCTACTTCCAGCTTTTGGGTGATTAAGTGGAAGAGTCTTACAGACTCTCCTGCTTGGGCTGGCTCCTGAGGAGGTAGCTAAGATTACAGGCATGATTCACTTGCACCTCTCTTAGGTTTAGGTTTTTGAGAAATCTTCGTATTGATTTAATGAAGTATGCTTTTCAAATAATTAACAAAATGAATATCAGGAAGCTGAAACAAGACTGTAAGTGGGAAGGGGGTTAGTAGGTGAGTAGTGATAAATGAAAAAGGAAATGCGACCAATACAGATACAGAAAGCTGGAAATATAAACATGAATCTGAAGGGAGAGACAGATTGGGAGGATGATCAAGAAGGGAATGGAACTTAGACACATTAAACTGTAGCTCCCTTGTATAACCCCTTGAAGATCAGAAAAACTACCATTTGACTACATGCATTTTTAAAAAAGTAAATGGAAATCTTTTTACAATTTCGGCGGGGAGGTGGGAGGGGGTGTCGTTGAGGAGGTGGGAGGGAAGGAATGGTAGAGGAAAAACAAATGAGGAGGCAACAATGCTTGATAAGAAATGTACTCATTACCTTGGTCATGTAACTGTAACCCCTCTGTACAGTATTTTCACAATAAAAACTTGTTTAAACAAAGAAGTAAAAGAGCCGGGCGCTGGTGGCTCACGCCTGTAATCCTAGCTACTCAGGAGGCTGAGATCTGAGGATCGCAGTTCAAAGCCAGCCCGGGCAGGAGAGACCGTGAGACTCCTATCTCCAATAAACCACCAGGAAACCGGAAGTGGCGCTGTAGCTCAAGTGGTAGAGCGCTTGCCTTGAGCTGAAGAGCTGAGGGACAGCGCCCATGCCCAGAGTTCAAGCCCCACAACCGACAAAAAAAAAAAAAAAAAAAAAAAGAAGTAAAAGGTAATTTGCTTTGTGACATTTAGTTTCGTCTATGCTGAAATCAAATCCCAACATATTGATAAAATGAGGAAAATGTCTAGTTTTCATTTTGAAGCTTACACATTGAACTATTGCTTTTGAAAAAAGAGAATGCCTTCTCAAAAATACTCAGAGAGGAACAACTCTGAGTCTAGTGATTTGTAGTTACTGCAAAGCCTTAAGCCCTGCATGTTATTTACAATGGTTTAAAATAATCCTCATGCTTGATTTTATTTCTTTTTTTTTTTTTTAATTTTATTTTATTTTATTTGAGAACATACTGTACAGAGGGGTTACAATTACATGGGCAGGATAATGCATACATTTCTTACCAAGCATTGCAGCCTCCTCCTTTGTTTACCCTTCACCTCCCTTCCCAGCCTCCCCCCTCCCTCCCACCCAATCATACCCCCCCTCCCCCCCCCACCGACATTGTAAAGCTGGTTTTGACATGACTTTTTGTACTTCTCATTGTTGCAACAGGTCCACCTGAATCCTTAAACGATTTGTTTGTCCCCATCTCCTCCACATGTTATACTGACATCAAATATAGTGAAAGCGGGGGTTACACTGTGGGGGAGGGACATACAAAGCAACAAAGAAATAATCTTATAAATGCGTTAGAAACACATGCATGAAAGAAACAAAAACATTAAAATACATATTTGAGGTTTCGTTTTCCTAACATCACATTATCTGACTTTTTCCGCTTGACTCATACCTATACTAGATATTGCAAATAAGGGAAACCATGGGACCTATGTTTCTTTGGGCCTGGCTTACTTCACTTAATATAATTTTTTCCAAGCCTTTCCATTTCCTAACAAATGGGGAAATGTCATTCTTTCTGATGGAGGCATAGAATTCCATTGTGTATATATACCACATCTTCTTGATCCATTCATCTACTGAGGGGCATCTGGGTTGGTTCCATGTCTTAGCTATGGTAAATAATGCTGCAATAAACATAGTTGTGCTGGTAGCTTTAGTGTGGCCTTGTTTGTGATCATTTGGGTAAATGCCCAAAAGTGGGATTGCTGGGTCATTGGGGAGCTCTATGTGGAGTCTTTTGAGGAACCTCCATACTGCTTTCCAAAGTGGTTGAACAAGTTTACATTCCCACCAACAATGAAGTAAGGTTCCTTTCTGTCCACATCCCCTCCAGCATCTGTTGTTGTTAGAGTTCTTGATTTTTGCTGTTCTAACTGGAGTGAGGTGATATCTCAATGTTGTTTTGATTTGCATTTCTTTTATGGCTAGGGATGTTAAACATTTCTTCATGTGTCTATTGGCCATCCTTCTTTCTTCTTCAGAGAAGCTTCTCTTTAAGTCTTTCGCCCACTTACTTATTGGGCAGTTGTTTCTTTGAGGATTTGTTGTTGGGTGGTTTAATTTTTTGAGTTCCAAGTATATTTTAGATATAAGACCCTTGTCCGTTGTATGGCTAGTAAAGATCTTCTCCCAGTCCGTGGGCTTTCTATTGATCTTGCTAGCTATGTCATTTGCCCTGCAGAAGCTCTGCAACCTTATACAATCCCATTTGTCCAGCCTTTCTTTGATTTGTTGTGTTTCCGGGTCTCTATTCAGAAAATTTCGGCCTGAGCCAAGGAGACCCAGGGTTTCTCCTATTCCATCCTGTAATGTTTTCAGAGTGTCTGCTTTGAGTTCAAGGTCTTTGATCCATTTGGAGTTGATTCTGGTGCAGGGTGATATATAAGGATCTAGCTTTAGTTTTCTACATGTAGTTAACCAGTTTTGCCAGCACCATTTACTGAAGAGGCTGTCTGTCTTCCATTCTATTGTTTTAGCTCCCTTATCGAAGATTAGATGGCTATAGGTCTGTAGGTTCATTTCTGGGTTTTCAATTCTATTCCATTGGTCCTGAGGTCTGTTCTTATGCCAATACCAAGCTGTTTTGATTACTATGGCTTTATAGTAGAGTTTGAAATTTGGTATTGATATTCCTCCAGCAGTGTTCTTTCCGTTGAGGAGCGTTTTTGCTATTCGGGGTCTTTTATTGTTCCATATGAATTTTTGGATTGCCTCTTCTATTTCCTTGAAGAATGAGGGTGGAATTTTGATAGGTATTGCGTTGAATTTGTAGATAGCCTTGGGAAGTATTGCCATTTTCACGATGTTAATCTTTCCAATCCAGGAGCATGGGAGGTTTTGCCATTTTTTAAGTTCTGTGTTGATTTCCTTTTTCAAGATTTTAAAGTTTTCATCATAGAGGTCCTTCACTTCTTTAGTTAAGTTAATTCCTAGGTATTTTATTTTTTGTGGGGCTATTACAAATGGAGTTGCTTTCCTAATTTCAGCCACACTTTTCTCATTGTTGGCATACAGAAAAGCCATTGATTTTTGGGGGTTAATTTTATAACCTGCTACTTTGCCAAAGTTTTGAATCAGCTTGAGTACTTTGGGAGTGGAGTCTATGGGATTCTTTAAATACAAGATCATGTCATCTGCAAAGAGGGAGAGTTTTATTTCTTCTTTCCCTATTTGGATCCCCTTTATGTCTGCATCTTGTCTTATTGCTGTAGCTAGGCATTCTAATACTAGATTGAAGAGAAGTGGAGAGAGTGGGCATCCTTGTCTTGTTCCTGAGTTAAGAGGAAATGGCTTTAGTTTTTCACCATTGAGTATAATGCTGGCTGTAGGTTTGTCATATACAGCCTTTATTGTATTGAGGAATGTTCCATGGATTCCTAATTTTTCCAAAACCTTCATCATAAAGGGGTGTTGGATCTTGTCGAATGCTTTTTCTGCGTCTATTGAGATAACCATGTGGTTCTTATTCTTGCTCCTGTTGATGTGATGGATAATATTAATTGATTTGCGTATATTGAACCAGCTTTGCATCCCTGAAATGAATCCTGTTTGATCGTGGTGTATGATTTTTTGGATGAATTGTTGAAGTCGGTTGGCCAAAATTTTGTTGAGAAGTTTTGCATCAATGTTCATCAAAGAAATGGGTCTATAGTTCTCTTTCTTTGATGAGTCCCTGCCTGGTTTTGGGATGAGGGTTATGATGGCTTCATAGAATGTGTCCGGTAGTGAGCTTTCTCTTTCAATTTCATTGAAGAGTTGGAGGAGAATTGGTGTGAGCTCTGCTTTGAAGGCCTTGTAAAATTCCGCTGTAAAACCATCTGGTCCTGGACTTTTCTTAGCTGGGAGGTCTCTTATTGCTGTTTCTATTTCAATGCTTGATATGGGCCTGTTAAGATAGTTTACCTCATCTTGGTTTAGTTTTGGCATGTCAATATTTGCTAGGAAGAGGTCCATTTCTGTCAAGTTCTCAAACTTATTAGCATAAAGTTTTGAGAAGTATTCCCTTATAATGTTCTGAATCTTGCTTGTTTCCGTGGTGATGTTTCCATTCTCATCTCTGAGTTTATTAATTTGGGTGTGTTCTCTTCTTTTTCTGATAAGATTTGCTAAGGGTCTGTCAATTTTGTTAAGTTTTTCGAAGAACCAACTCTTTGTTTTGTTGATTCTTTCTATAGTT